ATTAAAAAGCCAGGCACGTGGTACTGGCATAAAAACAAACAGGAGAAACAATGGAACCGAATAGAAGACCACACACCTACCAACACCTGATTTTTGACAAAGAAACAAAAAATATAAAATGGAAAAAAGAAAGCATATTTAACAAATGGTACTGGCATAACTGGCTACTAATATGTAGAAGAATGAAAATAGACCCATATCTATCACCATGCAGAAAACTCAAGTCAAAATGAATCAAAGACCTCAACATAAAGTCAGCCACACTGAACCTCATAGTAGAGAAAGTGGGAAGTATATTGAACGCATTGGTACAGGAGATCACTTCTTAAATATAACCCCAGTAGCACAGACACTGAGAGAAACAATTAATAAATGGGACCTCCTGAAACTGGGAAGCATCTGTAAAGCAAAGGACACGGTCAACAAGACAAAACGACAGCCTACAGAATGGGAAAAGATCTTCACTAACCCCACATCAGACAGAGGTCTGATCTCCAAAATGTACAAAGAACTCAAGAAATTGGTCATCAAAAGAACACATAACTCAATAAAAAAATGAAGTACAGACCTAAACAGAGAACTCTCAACAGAGAAATCTAAAATTGCTGAAAGACACTTAAGAAAATGTTCAACATGCTTAGTCATCAGAGAAATGCAAATCAAAACAACTCTGAGATTCCATCTTACACCTGAAAGAATGGCCAAGATCAAAAACACTGATGACAACTTATGCTGGAGAGGATGTGGGGTAAAGGGAACACTTCTGCATTGCTAGTGAGGATGCAAGCTGGTACAACCCCTTTAGATGTCAGTGTGGCGATTTCTCAGAAAATTAGGCAACAACCTTCTTCAAGACCCAGCAATACTACTTTTGGGTATATATCCAAAGGATGCTCAACCGTGCCATAAGGACATATGCTCAACTATGTTCATAGCAGCATTGTCTGTCATAGCCAGAACCTGGAAACAACCTAAATGCCCCTTGACCAAAGAATGGATAAGGAAAATGTGGTACATTTACACAATGGAGTACTACACAGCAGAAAAAATAATGACATCTTGAAATTTGCAGGCAAATGGATGGAGCTAGAAAACATCATATTGAGTGAGGTAACTCAGACACAGAAAGACAATTATCACATGTACTCACTCATAAGTGGTTTTGAAACATAAAACAAAGAAAATCAGCCTACAAATCACACTCCCAGAGAACCTAGACAACAATGAGGAACCTTAGAGAGCCATACATAGATCTAATCTATATGGGAAGTAGAAAAGGCAAGATCTCCTGAGTAAATTGGAAGCATGGGGACCATGGGAGAAGGTTGAAGGGGAGGGGAGAAAAAGGGAGGGAAGCAGAGAAAAATGTATAGCTTAATAAAATCAATTTTTAAAAAAGCCAGGCACAGTTACACAAACTTAAACTTTCAGGGCTTGAAAATAGAGGCCGGTGGGTCACTGGGAGTTTTGAGCCACTCAGTCTAGCCAACCAGCAAGTTCCAAAACTCAGTGAGAGACACTGTCCTAAAAAACCAAGATAGACAGGGTCCTGAGGAATGACAGCTAAGGTTGCCCCTGGCCTCCACACACAGATAAGATCCAAACCCTATCAGCCTATTTCCACTACTAGACTCAGTTTCTCTATCTTCAGTCTCAGCGCCTCCAACTCAACATGCAGCAAGCATCCATTCTTAGTCCTGTTGATGCACCCCTCAGAAACACGGCAGCCCTAAGACAGTAGCCGTCCCAGACACACAGCAGCCCTAAGACGGTAGCTGTCACACAGAGGCAATGTCCCTCCTTGCAGTCTTGGAGCACTTGGTGTCTGCAGACATTCCATTGCCGCAGCTTTGCAGAGGTTTCCCCTCTAGATGCTGCTAGAACTTATACAATGCCCAGAGCTGCTTCGTGTGGTCCACTGTCAAAAGGTCGAAGTTGGCCTGAGGATGTGCTCAGTTGATAGAGTGCTTGCTGGCATGCCCAAAGTCCTGGGTTCCAATCCCCCTTCCTGCCTCCTGCACATCATAAATTTGGTATGGTAGCACACATCTGTACTCAGTGTACAGAGGTGGGAGGATCAGAAGTTCAAGATCATTCTTAATTACATAGGGAACTGGAAGTCATGCAGGACCACATGAGAACTGTCTCAGAAGGAAATTGTGTCAAAGCTCAGAAATCCTGCTTAAATCATGAAACACAAAGATCGCAAGAGCCAGAAGTTATAGAAGCCTGCCATAAGGCAGTGTTTCCCAACATGCCAGGGCAATTGTGCACATGAATGCATTGGAGCTGCAGCTGCCTAAACAAAGCGAGCCAGGCATCACATCGGCATGGACAGGGAGGAACCTAGGAGAGACCACCTCTAGCTGAGGAGCTACTGGCAGTCAACACTGATATGAGGCTGGGGGTCAGGCATGTGGTCGCTGGTAGGTTCCACAATCCCCATGGATTGCCGCATACCCATGAGTATCTGGGCAGCACAAATTGGGGGGTGGATAAATTTGGGAAGGGGCAGGGATGGATTTAGGAGGAGTTAGGAGAATAAGTAGGGAGTGAGTCAGGTGATAAAATATTATAATAAACAATAGAACTAGTACAAAGAGCACAATAATTTTAAAAAGTTTTTCTTAATATGTATGGGTATTGTGTCTGAATGTGTGTCTGTGCACCGTGTGCACGCCTGGTAATTCTAATCTGTGGCAAGTTGATATTAAAACCAACCAAACTAACCAGTGCTGGGAAGTGGAGACAGGAATGTCCCTGAAGCTCACTGACCAGTCAGCCCAACTTACTGGGTGAATCCTAGACCAGTGAGGGACCTTGCCTCAAAAAAAAGGAGGACAGCACTTGAGGAATAAAGACAAAAGCTTTCCTCTGGCTTCCACATCCACACACATGCAACCCCCCCCCCCACACACACACAAGCTACACCCTTATGCATACACGCAAAAGACACTCTCCTATGGACGCTGAAGTCATTTCCATCCACAGACAGGACCACTGAATTCCCTCTTACATTGGGGCAGCAGGTCCTAGGGATAAACGTGAACAAGCCAAGGTGTTCGAGCCACAGCATGTGTCTGATGGGACAGTGGGCGGGTAGGGGAGCAGGTGTTATTGCAGGTGAAAGCCCTCATGAGCTGTATGGAGCAAGGCAGCATAGAGAAGGCCCTGTGCTCAGTTTCTTATGGGAAAAGCAAAAAAAAAAATGCGGTCCACTTTAGCAGTCGTTACTTTTCAGTTTCTGCTTGCAAAGGACACTTCTGACACCTCCCCTGAAGGAAGAGGCAGGGAGAGAGGTGGGAACAAGTACTTCAGCCTCAGCAGTCTCTTTGGAATAGGCCTATGACGTCCCTCTGAGAGAAATCCAGAAGGAAGGAAGGAAGGAAGGAAGGAAGGAAGGAAGGAAGGAAGGAAGGAAGGAAGGAAGAAATTCAAGATCTAACGTCTGACCACCCGGAGTCCAACAAACAAGAGGAAAAATTTGCAGAAACTGGGAAACTGTCCAAATAAAGTAGGTCAATTCCACCCTCATTTATTAAAGGCGTTTTCTGCCGCAAACCCTCAGAGATAGAATCACAGGTCAGGATAAGCCCATTCAATAACCAGAAGCCCAGGTGAAGCCTTCTCCTAGAGATACACATGCATACACGCCATCATATGCATATGTAAATGACAAGCAAATATAAGGGGCACAAGGGACAGAGCAAACCTCAGGCTGGTGGCACCCTTCCTCCCAAAGTCAGGAATCTAGAGATCTGGGCGCTAGTCCCAGCCCTGCTCCTGACATGTTGATGTGAAGCAAATCCCTCTCTGAGGGCTTTAGATTCTGTAAGATGAAAGACTTGAACAGACTATGCACAAGCAACCTTCCAAGGTACAGTGAAGACTTGAACCAAGCAAAGCCTCTGTTTCCCCATCTGTTTAATTACTGAGATAACCCGGAGCATCCCTTTCAGACACCCCCCCCCCCAAAAAAAAGTAAGCTGCGCATGTTCCTCCTGCACAGATGCCTCAGGAAATGGGGGAACTAAGTCACTGACCTAGAAGGGAGTCTCAGGAGCTATTATTCCCTGTGGTTTCTTAGGGCTCAGATCTTGGGGGAGGGGGTGACATTTTGCAGAGCTCGTTGGGAGGAGCAACTCCAGAGTCCTCAACTCAGCAGCCTTGAACTTCTTCCCAGTTCTTTCCATCCTGCCAGTCTCAACCCAGTCTGTCTCTCCTTCAGATATCCCAGGGGAAGCCGCCCAAAGTTCCCAGGAGTTTCTATGGGAAAGAAACGCAAACCATCCCGGGCTTCTCTCTGCTCCAACTTTATCCTTCTGCCCTGAATTTGTTGCGACCCGCGCTGCTCCCAGGAGCCCACAGGCACAGACTTTAGAAAAACCAGTCCCTCTAGGCGGAGAGAGGGAGAGGGAGGGAAAGACAGGACACTTGGGATTAAAGTGTCCCACCACAGACACGAAAACTCTACTCACAGCTTTCTAAATTTCCCATCTGCAACTCGGAGCACGCAAAACCGTCAAGGCGCTAGCTAGACTGAAGACCTGGAGTTCTAACTCTTTTTCTGATGCGGGGCAAGCCTCTCCCTCCCCTTTTCTGAGCTTTGGTTTCCTTGCATTTAAAGCCGGAGATCCCGGGGTCTAAAAGGGGAAGAGGGGGTTTTGATGAAGCGCTAGGGGGCAAGTGTCTATCATATTTGATATCCTGGGGCTGCTGCAGAATCGTCTCCTGGAAAGAAGCTATTCAGTGAGCAGGAGGGGATAAGTGAAGGGCGAGGGGACCGAGCCTTTACCTGCCTCACCTGGGACGCAGGGTCCAGGAAGGTTTTGCCTTTGGAGAAGGGAACTCCGAAGGGCACTCCAAAGGGCACTCCGACAGAGTGAACGATATTATTGCTGCGGGACGGGAGATCGGCGGCTCCCCCTAATTCCTAAGACCCAGTAGAGGAAGGCGGGCTGGTCCCTCTGGTTGGTGTGCTGGAGGGACGCGGTACTCACCGTGCAAGCTGCTGTAGCGAGCAGCAGCAACAGCAGAAGCAGTGACTGTGTTCCCCACGGTGACAGCCAGGACCTCATGGTGCCTAGCATGCTCCGCTGATTATTTTTCGCCTTTGCGTTCTGGCCACTCAGGAGCTCGGTGTCTATTTCGGTGACCCCCTCAGCGTCCTACGCGGCGTCCAGGACCATGGGCGACCCCAAAGTCCAGAGAAACCATAGCTGAATCTGTTCAATCCGACCAGATCCACAGGCAGGCTAGGGACTGCTGCTCCCTGAAGGAGGTAGCAAGAGTGCTAACCTGCCGGTGCCTATTGACAAGGACTGGTCGCTGCTCACTGCTTGCGACTCCACCCGCTGGGAATAGTAGGGAGGGGATGGGGAAGCACGGGGCTGGCAGGGAGGAGAGAGGGGGAGGGACCCCAGCCACCAGCCTGGAGGCAGCTACAACCTCCTTCCCTCCCCTCCAATTCAGAAAGTACTCTCTCAGGATTCTAAAGATCTAAGTCACACGTCTTGAGCAGTGATAAGGTAGACAAGATAACACTTTTTTTTTTTAGACAAGACAACACTTTTTTTTTTCCTGAATCCTCTATTGAGGATTGACACCTGGTCTCGCTATACAGCCCAGCCTGGCTTTGAAGTCACAAACCTCCTGCCTCAGTTTCCCCAGTACTGGGATTACAGATGTGGTTTCCAGCACCTGGTGTAGGTCATCCCTAATTATCAGCCAACACTTCCCAGGTTGACATTTAAACAAACTGAGTCAATGTCTGCTGCGTCCCAAAGGACGGTTTGAATTGACATAAAATCTCTAGTTATTCAGCCTTCACTACTGCAACAAACCAAGCAGCCAGTCCACACATAAAGAGAAAAAGGTTGATTTGCTCATAATCCGGAGGGGTCTGGTCCGTGACTGGCTGCCCCATGGCTTTGAGCGTGTGCCAGAGCAGCCCACCTCACTCAGAGTGTTGAGAGGGCACAGTGCAGCTAAACTTCCTGGGGACAGAGGGAAGGAAGTCACAGTCCAGTGGTCTCCTCTGAGATCCCATCCCTTACCAAAAACCTCTCACTAGGTCCCACCTCCTAGCAGCTGTCACTTTCCCTAGCTCTACCCCAGGGACAAAAGCTTTAACCCGGGCCCCTTGGGCAACATTTGACACCCCAAGCTGTAAAAGATACTTTTTTTTAAAAGGTAGAGTCTCAGGTCCATCTTGGCCCCAAACTCATTAAGTAGCTGGGAATGACCTTGAACTTCTGACCACCCTATCTCTAGCTCCTGAATGCTAAGAATATGACTGTGTGTCGCCCAGTGACACAGTGACACCCATACACCCAGTGTATATGGTACTGGAGATCAAACTCAGGCTTCTGGAAGGCTAGGCAAGCACCCTTGGTGTGAGCATGGGGCAGTAAATACTGTGATAGCCAGATAGCCACTATGGGTACATACTGAACTGTGCATTCTCCAAACTCCAATGTCACCCTCCCTGTGAAAGAGAGAAACCGTTCCTTTATGTCAACGGCCTCTTAGTTCTTAATTCTAATCCAGTTCCCGAGTACTTTATACAAGAAAGTGGCTCATCTAAACCAAAGTCCCAACCATCGGAACCCTTGAAATTCAATGTCCTCCCCGCAGAGTCTTAGAGGTTATCCTGAGGACAGGAGAGTCTGTTCTTGACTTCTGGGTAAGATCTACAGATACTTCCAGAATGAGTGTGTGTGCCTGTGCGGTTTGTGTAGATCAGTAGTGGGTGCCATCCTCAATCACTCTCCCCTGACTTTTTGAGTCAGGGTCTCTCTCTGTGAACCTGAAGCTCGTTGTTTGGTTACACTGCTGATCACTGGGCCCCAGGAGCCTCTGTCTCCACCTCCCCATTGTTGGAGAGCAAGTGAACTCCATTGTCCCTGACTTTTTATAGGGTCTCAAGCTCATATGGCAAGCATCTTGCAGGTTGAGCCATCTCCCCAGCCAATTTGCAGACACACTTAGAACCTCATGGAAGCAGGTTGTCAAGATAAACGCAATCTTCAGGGAACTTCCATGAAAAATTTACCTGGTATCAAAGGGGAAAGAAATCTTTTTTCCTCCCTCTTTTCCTTCAGCATGTCCTGGAGTGATACTCATTTACATTTTAGTAGATAAAGCTTGCCTGAAGTTCAGAGAGTAAACCTGTCGCATTGATCAGCCTTATAGACCAGGCAGTGGTGACACACACCTTTAATCCCAGTACTAGAAAGGAGTATAAGTGGGGAAGAGACAACTCTCACACACAGTCTCATTCTGAGATTCCTGGGCGCAGGATCTCCATTTGGGACTAAGGTAGAGAGGTAAGAGCTGGTGGCTGTTTTACTTTTCTGACCTTCAGGTTGAACACCAATTTTTGTCTCTGGGTTTTTATTAATTGTGCTACAATGTCCTTTAGGGTACATTCTGTTTCTCCACTGTTTATTATACAAATCCTTAAAAATCTAAACAAAACTCTTGACAGTTCTGAATTGCAGTACCCCCTCCAACTCCTTCCAACACTTGCTTTTTTGAGAGAGTGTCTCTAGCCCAGTTTTGCCTTTAATTCCCTATGATACTGAGGATGCCCTTGACGTCTGGTCCTCCTACTTCCACCTCCCGAGTGCTGGGATTGCAGACCTCGTCCATCACACCTAGTTTTCTACAGTGCTGGGGCCAAACCCAAGACTTTGTGAATGTTAGGAAAGCGTTCTGCCAGAACTTGGCTACTGCTTGGAGCTCTCAACTTGTCCAAACAGGCTGGGGCGTTTCCTCTTTTGTTCAGCTAAACACGATCCTGTGGGCATAAATGAAAATCCTTCCTGACTGTCTCAAAGAGTGAGATTTCTGCTGCTTTTGTAGAGAACCAGACACAGCACACTCAGCCTGGCTTGATGCTGACTGAGTGCACCGGTCACTCCTTCTGTTGCTGTGATAAAACACCTCGACAAAAGCAACTTGGGCTGAAAGGGTTTAGGTTTGAGGACACAGTTCGTCCTGGTGGAGAAGGCACGGAGGCAGGAGCATGGGGCAGCAGGTCCCATCGCATCCACACTCAGGAAGCAGAAAGAGAAGGATATTGGAGCTCAGCTTAGCTTCTCCTTTTCGTTCAGTACAAGACCCTGGCCCAAAGGATGGTGCTGCCCACCTTCAGGGTGGGTCTTTCCCTCTCAGTTAACCTAGTTTCCCTCACAGATATGCCCAGAGGTTTGTCTCCATGGTGATTTTAGAGCCTGCCCAAAATGGTTAATTGATTGCATTAACCATCGCACTGAATTAGAAAAATTATCTTATTTTCTTCACTTTGTAAAGAGGATTTGCTGAACTGGCTGGAGGACCCTCGCCCTTTTTTTTAAAAAAATTATTTCTCCATTATATCTTATATTGTTTCTCCCCCTCACACCAAAGAAAAGACATGGTAGAGAATTAACATTATTTGACAAATATCTACTGAGCCCCTGTCCTGCTCCAGGTGCTACATGAGGGTGATGGAGACTGGGAAAATTGCCTTTGCCAACCTCGGTCCCACGTGGAGAGACAAACATGTTCTGGCCACACCCATTCCAGGAGGCTAAAAAGGACGACTGAGGCTGCCACTTGTCGATGAGTCCTGTATCACCCCAGAAAGAACAAGCTTGTTGGTTAGCAGTCATAGCAACCACTGGATGCAGTGGGGTTTCCCAGACTGCTGTAGATACTATGCAAAGTATATAGCGACGCAATAAAGACGGTTCTTTTGGTAAAGAGATTGTAGGATAAACATCAAAACCTGAGTTTGATCCCAGCACCCACATAAAAAGCCAGGCTTGGTGGTTATATCTGTAATCCTAGGTCAGAGGAGGTAGACATGGGCAGATGGGGGAGGGGTTCTTGCTGCCCAGCTAAACTAGCTTTATATGTGAGCCTTGGGTCTCGGTAAGCGATCATGTTTGAAAAGAAAGAAAGAAAGAAAAAAAGAAAGAAAGAAAGGAAGGAAGGAAGAAAGAAAGAAAGAAAGAAAGAAAGAAAGAAAGAAAGAAAGGAAAGGTGCACGCTGCCTGAAGAATGACTCCTGAGACTGACTTCCAGCCTTCACATATATGGTGCACACACACATACACATGCACGCATGCATATGCACAGCATATAGGAAGGTATCAGACAACCAAACCTAGTGAATTTGTACATCATCTAAGCCCTACCTGTCACTCGGCTCATAGGCAAGCACATTTGAACACCCATATTTCATAAGGCCCAAGTCTGCAGTCATGTATAGCTTTTCCTGCCATCCTCCACTCTTCTTTTTAGTTATACAAACTTTTCTGGTCCACTAGCGGACCATGGGCCTTGTTGGGCTTTCAGGAAGAGTAGCCCCAGTGTTATCACATGTCCCAACAAGGAAGTGGCTTCTGCACTCGACAATCAAGTAACAGTGATTGGTTCTGAGACAGGCATGGGATTCATTCTGACCAAGAGAAGTGATACCAACACATGCAATATGTGGGCACCATGATCAGACTAATAGCAAGATGGCAGTCTTTTCCAGAGCATGGGGCATCTTTGTTGAGAACGAAGCCAGTTATAATGGAAAAGCCAGCGATGCAGAGAAGAGTGTCCTAGCGTCTGTCATGTTGGGGCAGCCATCATTCAAGTCCTAACTTGCTGTTCTTGGTTGTCAACTTGATCACATCTGGAGTTAACTAAAACCCAAGCAGCTGAGTACATCTGTGAGGGTTTTTTCTTCTTAATTAAATCATTTGAAGTGGGAAGACCCACTTCTAATCCGGATCTCGAGATGTAAAGATCTGCCCTTAATCTGGACCACACCTTTGACTGGCAGCCTATATACAAAGGACCAGGAAGAAGGAAGCTTGCTCTCTTTGCCAGCTTACTGTTCTCTTACTCAGAAGTTCATTCCCTCACTGGCATTAGAGTCTACTTCTTTGTGATTCGGTGTATATTATAGACCGATTGAGACACCAGCGTTGGAGACTGAACAACTACTGGTTTCTTGAACCTTCTATTGGTAGCCAGAAATTGCCTAGATGAACCACAATCTGTAAGCCATTCTAACACATCTTCTAGATAGGAAGGAAAAAAGAAAAAAAGGAAGGAAGGATGGAAGGAAGGAAGGAAGGAAGGAAGGAAGGAAGGAAGGAAGGCAGATAGAATCATTCTGTTTCTCTAGAGAAGCTTAACTAACATACTTGCCCCCCAGCAAGGCTTCCCTGAGGAAATAAGATTTGAGATTCAGTGTTTGAAGGTTCTGCAAGAAGATAAAGAAGAAAAGAGGAAAAAACTGACTGCTTCAGGTGTCTGAGTCCAAGGTCTCCACCAAATGTCTGCACGACTTCAACGAGAGCCATTGGAAGCAGGGAACAGCCACACGGAGAGA